TTTAAAGGGTTAATCTCACCCGTGAAGCTGTCATCGTCTTGTCTGCTTATTTCGATTATCAATAAGCACCAGAGACGTTTGAATTTCTGAAGAACTGAGGATCCAAATGCTTCCACTGGATGAACTGGACTTGGAAAGCCACAGAAAATGTCAAAGGAACTCTGCCCATTTCTGCGTGAAATATCAGGAGCCGTTACACAAACACGACACCAACCCTGAGGTCTTTTGGCAGCTGGGATCAAAACCCCAAGGCCATGTGTGATGTACGGGGGACCTCTATAGCTCCTCCTGTACAGAATCCACTCTGAAAATCACTCGAAGCCCTCCACCACAGTGAGACGGCACATCACGGAGGGAAGAGATTAGCCTGAAGGTGAATGTCAGTTTAGTCTATTTAGGTTTTCACGCTCATCTGTAGCCTCAAGTCGTGAATACTGACCAAAAAAGAAAAAAAAGAAAATCGGGCTGCAGATACAAGCAGCAGAAATGAGCTTCAGGCCACCGGCTGCTGAATCCTGGACATCGGTGACCAAAGATAAGAATCCATTTTATTTATTTATTTTTGTAATTACATTACTGCAGTGTGGTAATTACAAGTTATCTGTGTAGACAAAATTACAGGTTGATTATCTGAGGCTGACCTCGCAGTTTACCATGAGTGCCCGAATCTTTGGTTCAAAACATAAAACACAAAAACGACGACCAACAGCTGCATGAGCCAAAAGTGGCCAAGGCTGTTTGATCAGCTCTCTGGCAATATCCTCGCAGAGCCTGGGAGAGGGAATTAATGATGCTCCTCATCCTGCACAACACTTGCTTTTCTGTTTCCATCTGCAAGAAGCCCTTCCAAATATGGCTGCGAGACATGGCAGACAAACTGCTGTCCTGTCCAATCACCAATCAACAGAGTCCAGTTCAAATGACATTTGTTTACAAAAAGAATCACGATTATGAAAACACAAACACACACTCCTCGTGCCTATGGTACGACAACTTTTCTCCGTGCCCCTGGTACACTGCGTAGAAGCACTTTGCCACACACACACACACACAATTTCT